ACAGGATGTTCCTACCAAGCTTGTCACACATTGTAATGACCAAATCACACTCTCAGACCTCTCCCACCCTTGGAAACAAAAGATATTTAATGACCAAATCACACCCTCAGACTCTCTCCACCCTTGGAAACAAAAGATATTTAATGACCAATTCACACCTCAGACCTCTCCCACCCTTGGAAACAAAAGATATTTAATGACCAAATCACACCTCAGACCTCTCCCACCCTTGGAAACAAAAGATATTTAATGACCAATTCACACCTCAGACCTCTCCGACCCCTGGAAACAAAAGATATGTTAATGACCATTCACACCTCAGACCTCTCCCACCCTTGGAAACAAAAGATATTTAATGACCAATTCACACCTCAGACCTCTCCGACCCCTGGAAACAAAAGATATGTTAATGACCATTCACACCTCAGACCTCTCCCACCCTTGGAAACAAAAGATATGTTAATGACCATTCACACCTCAGACCTCTCCCACCCTTGGAAACAAAAGATATGTTAATGACCATTCACACCTCAGACCTCTCCCATCCTTGGAAACAAAAGATATGTTAATGACCAATTCCACCTCAAATTCCTCATGAAGACCCCCCTGCCAGGTGGCCTTAATGACTCCCTCCACCAGACACCTTTCCCACCCTTGGAAACAAAAGAATGTTAACCCTTGACGCCGGTGCCTCCCAGCCCTTTAAGGGTTTCAGAAGCCAGGAGGTGGGACGGGGTTTTAGGGTCATGTGACCACCTTGATTCGCCGTCACGATGGTCACATTGATCGGGAAAGGTCCCGATCAAAAAGAGGAGACGTCTGACAAAACATGGCTAAACACGGCAAATTGTGTTTAAATTAAGCGTTTGCGGTTGAAATTTATTTTAACTCTTCCAGTTCCAACACTGTCCAGAGCCTTTTTCATCATAAAGAATGCATGCAAAGAATTTTCAAGGTGCTCAGATGGAGAAAATACTGAACACAGGATGTTCCTACCAAGCTTGTCACACATTGTAATGACCAAATCACACCTCAGACCTCTCCCACCCTTGGAAACAAAAGATATTTAATGACCAAATCACACCTCAGACCTCTCCCACCCTTGGAAACAAAAGATATTTAATGACCAATTCACACCTCAGACCTCTCCCACCCTTGGAAACAAAAGATATTTAATGACCAAATCACACCTCAGACCTCTCCCACCCTTGGAAACAAAAGATATTTAATGACCAATTCACACCTCAGACCTCTCCGACCCCTGGAAACAAAAGATATGTTAATGACCATTCACACCTCAGACCTCTCCCACCCTTGGAAACAAAAGATATTTAATGACCAATTCACACCTCAGACCTCTCCGACCCTGGAAACAAAAGATATGTTAATGACCATTCACACCTCAGACCTCTCCCACCCTTGGAAACAAAAGATATGTTAATGACCATTCACACCTCAGACCTCTCCCACCCTTGGAAACAAAAGATATGTTAATGACCATTCACACCTCAGACCTCTCCCATCCTTGGAAACAAAAGATATGTTAATGACCAATTCCCACCTCAAATTCCTCATGAAGACCCCCTGCCAGGTGGCCTTAATGACTCCCTCCACCAGACACCTTTCCCACCCTTGGAAACAAAAGAATGTTAACCCCTTGACGCCGGTGCCTCCCAGCCCTTTAAGGGTTTCAGAAGCCAGGAGGTGGGACGGGGTTTTAGGGTCATGTGACCACCATGATTCGCCGTCACGATGGTCACATGATCGGGAAAGGTCCCGATCAAAAGAGGAGATCGGGACCTTTTCTGTGAATACCGGACATGTGTGCTGGGAGCTCGCAGGGCGCGCGCTCTCAGCACATATGTTTTTCTTAATTGCACACAAATGTGCGGTTACCGCTCGGCGTCTAGGCCCAGACACCGGGAGGCCGCACCCTTGTGGCGGCCGGGGTGAAGAGTTTAATGAGCAACTCACACCTAATTATCTCAACACATACTGCTGTATCTGCTTCTACTCTCTGTATTTCTCTGAAACATTCTGAAATATTTAGTAATTTACCACTTTTCAGTCCATTCTGGGCATTTGGGAGGTTCTCCTGTGCTTATCTTTAAAAAACGCTTCTAAACGCAAACGTACATAAACACGTTATGCAAATGAGGCTAAACAGATGTTTTTTAACCTACGTTTTCCAGCAGCCAGTTTCCATCGTTCAGAAACGTCCCGTGGACATGGGTCCTTATTCTTACTTTTCCGGTTATATTGTAGCCCTGATGAAGTGACTGTGTGGCCCTGAAGTGCGTTGGCTCTTGTACCCAACGAATGTTTGGAATAAGATCTTACTTTGCACTCTATCATCCCGGGAGCGGCTCTTTGACTTCGGATTCATTTATTGCTCTTGAACAGCAAAACAGAGATTTCCAGACGCACAATGCATGCACACCATTGCCCAAATAGGAAAAAAAAAAAAAAAAAACTGGAAATGTTTCTTTGCAGAGCGCCTCTTTTTCTGAGTTGTTACAATGATCGCTACAAACTATTAAGCAAAAAAGTGAGGGGCAGAGGGCATTTGGCACGGAACACTGAGAACGCTCCCAGTAATAAGATCTATTTTAATGTTGTGCACAGCTGAGATGTCTAATAGAATGTTTCTATGTGAAGGCAGCCTGTCAAGAAGATGTGGAAATAATAGCAATGAGCTGTAATGCGAAGCGACGGACTTCGCTGCTCCCGTACTTGAGAAACAAGAATTGACACTAGTGGGAAAATCACAGTTATGGCTCTCTGTGTCATGGTCTAAACTTGGTCGCATGTTTCCCCTTCTGCTGGCTGAAAAATTCTAACAATCGTCCAGAAACGCCCCCCCCCCCCCCCGTTCACATCTGGCAATTTGAGATTGCCGGCAGGATTGTGGCGATTCTGCCCGCCGCCATCCCAAATCTTCGCATGTGAATGGGGCCTTACTGCTTGCCAATGAATCATTACAAATCTGCAACAACCTAATCAAGGATACAATGTATTCAAATTCATGGAAGAAGGGAATTTTGTTGCAGCACAAAGATCAATAAATGACAGAATGAAGCCCTGCACCCTATGACTACGTGCATAGCACGAAACGCGTCAGAGGGGCTACAGCAACTGGACATCTAGCCACCGCTGGTGGCCATCCTGAATTAACGGCCAGTAATTTTTATTCTATTGCATTACACATTCAATATCTGGAATAAAGTGACCCTATGCAGTATTACTGTCAGGAATGGACTCAGCACTGGTGGTGGGACTCACCTGCCGTGTGGGCTGCAGTACCAGGGCTGACCAGCGGGTGCTCTCAGCAGCCAGAAGCTCACTCCTGCAGTCAGCCAACACCTGGGGCTGAATTGAAGGAGGTGTATTTAAGCAATGACCAGGCCTGTGATCAGTGCCTTGGTGTATGTTTCCCATGAGCCCCTGTACCTTGTATCCTGTGTTCCTGTTCCTCTGCCTATCTGATTTGTTGCTGACTCTGCATTGTTCCTGACCCTGCTGACGTCTCCTGTTTAACCCCTGGCTTGCCTGACCATCCTTCTGCCTGATCCTCTGTATCGTGCTGCCTGTGAGTTCCTGAACCCGGCTTGTGACCATGACTATTCTCTGCCTGCTCCTTCGGTACCTCGCTTCCCGCACGTTGCTGACCTGGCCTGCCTGACTACGCCTTACGCTACCCAGACGATCCATCCATCCTGCACGGATCCAGCCATCCCTGCCTCTTCACATCAGGCTTCCTACCTGCATATACCTCTGGCGGATCCCTCTACCACAAGCAGGTGTACTCAGGGGCCGCGACCTGGTTCCTGTCTGCTCTAAGTCCATCCCCACCATCAGGGGCCCTGGTGAATAAGCAGACTGGGACTTAGACTCCGCGCCCTGGGGAATCCTGTCCTGAGGACTGCTAGGGGTATCACCAGATGGTCGTTAACAGAACCATATGGCCGGCCTGACCCTTCCACCTCTCCAGCCCTGACTGTGCCTGTGTTCCTGCACATACTAAGATTAGTGGAAGATTGGTTTATTTACTGAGTGTTGTATATTTGAGTAGCTAATAATAAATTATATTATTATATCATTCCTGAAGCCTGTTACTTCCCTGTGTCAGTCCACACACCTCTGGTCATACCCGGATCCCTGACAATTACGCTATGTGGTGTCCCTTATTGGCTCTCCGTGTGAGTGCCATCAGTCGTAGTGCCCGCTTTAAAAGGTGACCCCCAGATGGTGATACATATCGAGGGATTCCGGAACCTTCATGCAGATGAGACCAGATAGTGATATGGAGTGTGACCTGACCTGGGAACAGATGACCCATTAATTACCTGATGACACAGGATTTTGCATATTGCGTGTTAAAAACGCACTTCTGGTGAGTGCGCATTTTTTATTCACTTGGAACACATCATCTGTCACTCCGGGATCGGAAATCCATAGACTAAGAATTGCGATCCTTTGGGATCCACACGTTTACATCTTTATTGGACAATTATCTCACTAAAATCACCACATGGTGATACCAATTAGTGCACCTGATGTATTATTAAGGATGCCAATATACAGTGGTATATATATATATTTATTAAGTTGCACAACATGATTCAGCGCTGCACCTATTTGTCTTGACTTATATATATATTTGGAAGGTTTCTTTGGTTGCCTTTTTTGGTGTTCTAGCAGCTACCTTGTTTTCTCTCTTTTCTTTGTGTAGCGCTCGCGAAACATTCCTTTTTCATACAAATGACAGAATGAGGTGATATAGAACAGAAATAACCCATACAGTGGCCATATACCAGTAGATCCAGCCTCTCGGCATCTCTTTAGAAGGCTGCAACTTGATGGTCACATTAAAGTGGAGTTCCACTCACTTTGTAAAAAAATAAAAGTTAGCAGCCAGAAAAACTGTAGCTGCTGACTTTTAAAAAAACAGCCACTTACCTGACCCTCAGTCCCGCGGTGTCCTCCCCGCATCCCATTTCGCCAGCCATCTGGTGTTCCATCTTCTGGTGTCCCATCTTCATCTCCATCTTCAGTGTGGGCACCCGACTGTGACAGCTTGAGGCTTCACAGCCGGGTGCCCACTGCACATGCGCGAGAAGTGCTGAGATTCCTGAATGGCCCCGTCGTCTTCTGGAACCTGTCACGTGTCCCAGAAGACTACAGGGTGGGAGGGTAGGAGGACAACTTCAGCTTCCAATCGCCTAGGCAATCGCGCAGCAGAAGTGGGAGCGGGTACCTGTCAATTTCAGGTACCCGCTCCTTCCCCGCTCCCCAAAGGTGGCAATCCTTAGTGGGGAGCGGGGGACCAGTCTTTAAAGCGGAACTTCCCCTTTTGGGTGGAAATCCGCTTTAAAGTGATAATAAAGTTTATGTAGCACTACCCCCTAAGGAGTCGCTGACTTTTGGATCCGCCTTAAGCGCTGCACAGCCAGGCGACACACATTTTTCACACTTTGCACACTCGAGTCAAAGAACAGTCGTTGAGCTTGTTAAGAGTTAAGAAAGTATATGGGATCTAGGGGTCTATGGGATGCCCAAGGCACCGCAGAATTCCTGAGCAAGTATCTACAATATTGTGAATAGCAACAGTCTCTTTCCTTGAAGAACCCCAAAGACTCTTCCTAGTGTACCTCCTGAGACCCCGGATGATCATTCCTCTTCACCCCACTGCACTGAGGGTATTCCCTGGGCAAGGGGGCCCAGAAGCTGCCAATTTAGCACAAGCAGTGCCAGATGAGAGGCTAGTTGGGTCTTTCACCTGACTGCCCTCTCCCCTTATCCGACCCAAGGGTGTGGTGTAAGAGTACTCACACTGTCCTTTCCTGTCAGCTTAGTGGGTTGATGGCTGCCTTCAGGCCTTTCGCTGGGCTGGCTCCTTCCCTGCTGCTCAGTATGTCCTTCCCAGGGGACGGTGGTACAGTGGAGATCCTCCTTTCCATCAAGTTGCCTCTAGGTAAGCCCCTTCTATGGGGTCCCCTCCCAGGCTCCACACTCCAGCCTTCCTCACTTCATCTTCCACCCAACACTGACTCTTGCCCTCCAGGCTCTGTGATATTTGAGGGTTGCCTTGGTCACCATGCCCGGCCTCCTGCCAGGGGATTGGCCAAGGTCCCTCAAATATGCAGATCTAGGCCTCCTCCACTCCCCTGTTCCAGAATGTTCTCCACTCTCTAGAAAGATGAGAAGGCTCTAGAAGCCCTGATCTGTTGGAGCCTCCAAGCGTGCTCTGAGGTGATCTCACTACCGCACTCCCAGGCTGACTCACCTCAGGCTGCTCTCAGCATCTAACTAGTGGGGGTGAAAAAAAAAAATTTACATCATTGGTGTCTGTAGGAGATTTAGTGCCCTATAATTGCTGTCAGTGAAAGAATTAGTTTCACATCTCTGGTGTCAGTGGAAGGAATAGTGCCCCATCATTGGCAGGAATAGTGCCTCATCACTGGTGTCGGTGGAAGGAGCAGTGCCTCATCATTGTTGTCACTGGAAGGAATAGTGACCCATCATTGGTGTCATCGGAAGGAATAGTGACCCATCATTGGTGTCAGTGGGAGGAATAGTGCCCCATCACTGGTATCAGTAGGATGAATAGTGCCCCATCATTGGTGTGTCAGTGGGAGGAATAGTGCCCCATCATTGGTATCAGTAGGATGAATAGTGCCCCATCATTGGTATCAGTAGGATGAATAGTGCCCCATCATTGGTGTCAGTGGGAGGAATAGTGTCCCATCAATGGTATCAGTGGGAGGAATAGTGCCCCATCATTGGCATCAGTGGGAGGAATAGTGCCCCATCATTGGTGTCAGTGGGAGGAATAGTGCCCCATCATTGGTATCAGTGGGAGGAATAGTTCCCATCATTGGTATCAGTAGGATGAATAGTGCCCCATCATTGGTGTCAGTGGAGGAATAGTGCCCCATCATTGGTATCAGTGGGAGGAATAGTGCCCCATCATTGGTGTCAGTGGGAGGAATAGTGCCCCATCACTGGTATCAGTGGGAGGAATAGTTCCCATCATTGGTATCAGTAGGATGAATAGTGCCCCCATCATTGGTGTTAGTGGAAGGAATAGTGCCCCATCACTGGTGTCAGTGGAAGGAGCAGTGCCTCATCATTGTTGTCACTGGAAGGAATAGTGACCCATCATTGGTGTCATCGGAAGGAATAGTGACCCATCATTGGTGTCAGTGGGAGGAATAGTGCCCCATCATTGGTGTCAGTGGGAGGAATAGTGCCCCATCATTGGTATCAGTGGGAGGAATAGTGTCCCATCATTGGTGTCAGTGGGAGGAATAGTGCCCCATCATTGGTGTCAGTGGGAGGAATAGTGCCCCATCATTTGTGTCAGTGGAGGAATAGTGCCCCATCATTGGTATCAGTAGGATGAATAGTGCCCCATCATTGGTGTCAGTGGGAGGAATAGTGCCCCATCATTGGTATCAGTGGGAGGAATAGTGTCCCATCATTGGTGTGTCAGTGGGAGGAATAGTGCCCCATCATTGGTGTCAGTGGGAGGAATAGTGCCCCATCATTGGTATCAGTAGGATGAATAGTGCCCCATCATTGGTGTCAGTTGGAGGAATAGTGTCCCATCAATGGTATCAGTGGGAGGAATAGTGCCCCATCATTGGTGTCAGTGGGGAGGAATAGTGCCCCATCATTGGTGTCAGTGGGAGTGGGGAATAGTGCCCCATCATTGGTATCAGTGGGGAGGAATAGTGCCCCATCATTGGTATCAGAATAGTGCCGCCCCTGCATCAGAGGTTCCCCCCACACCCCATTACATCAAAGTCCTCCCATTACATCAAAGTTGTAAATATATACATCAGACACCCCCATTACCACATAGTTCCCCAATCACAGTGTCAGAGCCCCCCAGCCATCACATCAGAGCCCCCCTATACCTGAGAGCCCCTCCCTTCATCACATCAGAGTCTCTACATCACATTTAGAGTCCCCATCCCTGCAGATTCCCCCCCCCCCCCCATTCACAGAGTCCTCTCATCCACCTCTTATCCTGAGCAAATTGGTTCTTAAAGCGGAGTTCCATCCATAAGGGGAAGTTCTGCTTTAAAGACTGGTCCCCCGCTCCCCATTAAGGATTGGCACCTTTTGAGACATGTGACAGGTCCCAGAAGACGACAGGGCCATTCAGGAAGCACACTGCTACTCTCGCGCATGCGCAGTGGGTACCCGGCTGTGAAGCAGCAAGCTGTCACAGCCGGGTGCCCACACTGAAGATGCCGGCCTCCTGGAATACAGGACGGCCGGTGAAACGGGCTGCAGGGGACACACCACGGGACCGAGGGACAGGTAAGTGGCTGTTTTTTAAAAGTCAGCAGCTACAGTTTTTGTAGCGGCTGACTTTTTCTTTTTTTACAGTGTGAGTGGAACTCCGCTTTAAGCTCACAGCAACTTGGTGGAACCCAAATGGCACCCTGATTGAGAAACGCTGATTTATGGCCGGTTCACACTATAGAAACGCAGTCCAGATGCGTTCTGGGTGCGTTTTCACATGTGCATATTTTTTGGCGCGTTCCAGTGCGTTTTTTTTAATGTGTTTTTGACATGTTCCAGTGCGTTTTTTATGCATTCCAGTTAATTCCCCCCTCTCTTTTTGTTCAATTTAAACAGGGACATGTGCGTTCCAGTGCATTTTTTATGCATTTTGGTGCATTCCAGTGCGTTCCAGTGCATTTTTATGCATTTTGGTGCATTCCAGTGTGTTCTAGTGCATTTGTATGCATTTTGGTGCATTCCAGTGTGTTCTAGTGCATTTGTATGCATTTTGGTGCACTCCAGTGCGTTCTGATGCATTTTTGATGCATTTTACTGCATTCCAGTACAGTTCTGTGAAGAAATGCAGCCTGTTCTACTTTTTTTTCTGCATCCGGAACACACTGGAACTGCCAGCACTGATGTGAACTATGACATGGTCAACCATATCACCTACTTTATGAGCATTTTTAATGCAGAAAAAAAGCAACTGAAACGCATGCAATGTGAACCGGCCCTAAGGCTCTCTACTCTTGACCAGGGGCGGACTGACCATTTGAGCACTCGGGCACTGCCAGAGGGCCCGGGGTCAGTAGGGGGCCCCATGAAATGCACTAAGATAGTTATTAAAGAGGTTATTAAATACATTAACGTGTCACCCAATATATGGTCTCCTCCATTCAGTAGCCAAAAGAGGCATACAAAAAAGGAGGGTTGTGAAAAGAGATTCACAGAAAAGCGGCTACATAATGAACAGAACGTGACACTAAGGGAATAATTTCCAAAAATTATGCTTTATTACACACAAATGAATATGACATATGGGCATTCGCCCTGGTTTACCATCACCTCAGTATGAGACAATACACACAGACCTAAAACCATTTAAAATGACACAAAAACCGGTCTAAATGTATGTGTAGCAGGGAAAATGGCTACATGAGTCTAGTGTCCCTGCCACACAAACACACAGGTGAACACTTCCCTAGGGAGGTGTATCCAAAAATTATGCCATGGGCATACCATAATAGAGGATATAAGGGATTAAACAGTAACCATAATGGCAAATCCCTATCAAAAAATCCAAAAAATTATGCTGTAGATATATATATATCACATGTATGCAATGGAGCAAGCACAAGAGTCAAAAAGGAGAGTAGCAGGCCTCAGGCCTGTATGAAGGAAGACATAAATGTCAAATATATTGTACAATACATTCCTGTGCCGGCACAAGTGGTTGGGGCCCATTCATCTGTAATATAGATAGCTGTTTCCTAGAGCTCTTGGATGGGAATATGCCCCATTTATTTCCAGGATGGAAGAAAAGATGCACACAGCAGCACTCTGCTTGAAATGGTTTCTTCACCACTACATGTGGACTATACACCACTTTTTGTAGGAAAAAACAAGACACATCCCAAAGACTCTTCTGACTCTTGTGCTTGCTCCATTGCATACATGTGATATATATATCTACAGCATAATTTTTTGGATTTTTTGATAGGGATTTGCCATTATGGTTACTGTTTAATCCCTCATATCCTCTATTATGGTATGCCCATGGCATAATTTTTGGATACACCTCCCTAGGGAAGTGTTCACCTGTGTGTTTGTGTGGCAGGGACACTAGACTCATGTAGCCATTTTCCCTGCTACACATACATTTAGACCGGTTTTTGTGTCATTTTAAATGGTTTTAGGTCTGTGTGTATTGTCTCATACTGAGGTGATGGTAAACCAGGGCGAATGCCCATATGTCATATTCATTTGTGTGTAATAAAGCATAATTTTTGGAAATTATTCCCTTAGTGTCACGTTCTGTTCATTATGTAGCCGCTTTTCTGTGAATCTCTTTTCACAACCCTCCTTTTTTGTAGGCCCCATGAAATGCCCCTGGTACCTTTTATAGGCTTGTTTTGAGTGTGGGTGAGGACATGGGGGGCCCCATGATCCCCTATTGCCCGGGGGCCCCATGATCCCCTACTGCCCATCCCGGGGGCCCCATGAGTTGTCAGTCCGCCCCTGCTCTTGACTATATAAATATTTTTTTTTCATCTGCAATTTTTTTATGATAGCACTTCTGCAGAGCAATAGACTGAATGGAGTTGGGACAATAACTGGTACAATTATTGGAGAGGATTTGGCATTTTGAAGTCCTGAAAAGTCCTCCTGTGCCTTTGTGGCTTTGGAATTTTTACCGCAGAGGTGACAATCTAAAATTAATCAGGTTTTCCTGCCCACAAGATAAATCGCGCTCCCTTCTCTGCAGGCGGTGGAGATGGTCCAGGTTGCTTGGATACTGGAGCAATCATCTACTACAGGCTAGTCTTGAATCGCTGGCTGAGTGAGTCGGTGAACTGAGGGGAGGCCAATTCATATTCTCACAGCCTTTCTAATGATACTGCTGGAGGTCTCATTTACAGCCGAGCTCAGCGATGCCTCAGAGAAATTGATCGATATAACCCAGAATCGCTTCCAATAATACATCGCAGCAAGGCTGTGCTCCTGACCTCTCAGCCTCTAAAAATTCTAAATGAGGGAAAATGGTCTCGTAACTGGTAAAATGAATCACGTCGGCAGAAAGAACTCGGAATAAACGCGCGTAAACACAGTACACGCTCGCTGACTGCTACCGTCATCAATCACTTGGGTCCATGAGAGATTCGTTTTGCAGGATTCCATGTGTGTGATGGAGGGAAAAATTGGGACAGCTAGGTAAATCACACAGCAGGGCATAGAAATGTGGATTTAAAGCATGAAAATGCTAATTTTACTCAACCTCTTCAGTCGAGGCGCCATTTAAAAAAATCGGTGCTGCTATCGAAGGCTTCCTAAGGCTTTTAAACATACTCCAGACTCCAGCACCCGGGATGGTGTGTACTTTCATCAATCCAACTGCCACTTTTCAGGTGGAAGTGATTCATAGCCGCCCGGTTTCTTCTACAAATACAGGAATATGCCATTACCCGGCACAACTGCCCCACCGTGTATTACGAGAATCCCACATGCGGGCCTGGGACGGCCATGGTGGGTGTTGTTGGGTAGGGTGAAGGGAGCTCAGTGGATTGCTTTAAATGTATTATGTATAATACATAAGGGGGGATATGATCTCCATGTATAATACATAAGGGGGGATATGATCTCCATGTATAATACATAAGGGGGGATATGATCTCCATGTATAATACATAGGGGGGGGATATGATCTCCATGTATAATACATAAGGGGGGATGTGATCTCCATGTATAATATATAAGGGGGGATATGATCTCCATGTATAATACATAAGGGGGGATGTGATCTCCATGTATAATATATAAGGGGGGATATGATCTCCATGTATAATACATAAGGGGGATATGATCTCCATGTATAATACATAAGGGGGGATATGATCTCCATGTATAATACATAAGGAGGGATATGATCTCCATGTATAATATATAAGGGGGATATGATCTCCATGTATAATATATAAGGGGGGATATGATCTCCATGTATAATACAGAAGGGGGGATATGATCTCCATGTATAATACATAAGGGGGGGGGATATGATCACCATGTATAATACATAAGGGGGGATATGATCACCATGTATAATACATAAGGGGGGATATGATCTCCATGTATAATACATAAGGGGGGATATGATCACCATGTATAATACATAAGGGGGGATATGATCTCCATGTATAATACATAAGGGGGGGATATGATCACCATGTATAATACAGAAGGGGGGATATGATCTCCATGTATAATACATAAGGGGGGATATGATCTCCATGTATAATACATAAGGGGGGATATGATCTCCATGTATAATACATAAGGGGGGATATGATCACCATGTATAATACATAAGGGGGATATGATCTCCATGTATAATACATAAGGGGGGGATATGATCTCCATGTATAATACATAAGGGGGGATATGATCTCCATGTATAATACATAAGGGGGGATATGATCTCCATGTATAATACATAAGGGGGGATATGATCTCCATGTATAATACATAAGGGGGGTATGATCTCCATGTATAATACATAAGGGGGATATGATCTCCATGTATAATACATAAGGGGGATATGATCTCCATGTATAATATATAAGGGGGGATATGATCTCCATGTATAATACATAAGGGGGGATATGATCTCCATGTATAATACATAAGGGGGGATATGATCTCCATGTATAAATACATCAGTGATTCATATAGTGAACTCGGTGTAGTTATTCCCCCTGAGGTCATCACAGAGGACAAGGGGGCGCTCTTTACGTCTGGAGGAAAAGAAATGTAATCTCCAAACACAGAAAGGTTTCTTCACAGTAAGAGCTGTGAGAATGTGGAATAGACTCCCTCAAGAGTTGGTTGTGGCCAGCTCAGTGGATTGCTGTAGGAAAGTCCTGGATTCTTTCTTGGATACACAGAATATAACTGGATATAACATTTATAGATCCAGGGAATATCCGATCGCCTCTCGGGGGTTCAGGAAGGTTTTTATTTCCCTGCAGGAGCAAATTGGATCGTGCTTTGCTGGGTTATTTTGCCTTCCTCTGGATCAACTGTGGGTGTAGGATTATAACTTATTTCTTTTTTTTTAATGGTTGAACTGAATGGACTTTTGTCTTTTTTCAGCCAGACTATGTAACTAAGTAAGGGAGACCCCTTATAGACCCCTGATTTCTCAAAAGGAGAATCGGTCAGAACCTATATACTATCACATAGGGGGCTATTGGTTGCGTGTGAGACATAAATGGAGGATGATTTGGCTGACTCATGGAAGGTAAAGGAAATTTCATTTTCTTTATGGTGCTTGTGCATCCATAGTAACTGGATCTGAGACCCAACTGGGGTGCCTTCTGGGTTCTTCAGGGGTGCCTTGGCAAAATGCCT